ATAGATAGATAGATAGATAGATAGATAGATAGATAGATAGATAGATATCTTCCCCCTATCAGGAGAAGCTCATGAAAGTGACTCCTCTACTTTTCTCCAGACACAAACACCTGCAAGTTATCCTTAGAGAGTGACAGAGGGGGATTGTTTCTGGGACAGTGAGGGGAAAATGAGTACTCCCTGAACTTTTTCCTCCCTGGCTCCCTTCAGCAGTAACTCCACACCCGGTGTCTCCTTCTTCAAGGTGGGCAGGAGACATACCTTTGCTTGAGTAAGAGAGTGAGTACTCAAAGCACTGTCTCCCCAATCTTGGCCAGTCATAAACCCAGATTTGCACGCAGCCTGCACCAAGCACTTCAGAGCAGCTCCTAGTCCGTCTAACTCTGCAGGTTGACAGAGTGGTGCATTCCTCAGTCTCCTAGTCCACAGAATACAAAGGGTGACTTTTAAACATGCAGATGCACCATGCTGTCTCCCTGCTTCAAAGGCAGCACTCTAGTCAAGCAAGCAAACATCTGCTTCAGTCTGTCTTCGTGGCAATGAGAAGTTCCGACTCTTGGCTTCTCTACTGGAAATGAAGGAAGTGGAGCAAGCAAGTATCAGCCCTTTTCGTGGCTCTAGCTCACAGTGTGTGTCTGGCTTCAATAGAGGATCCAACACTTCTGATTTGTGCGTAAGTACACAACGGACAAACACAGAGTTTGTAGTTCTCCAGCGTCTCCGGGGCCAACCGCAGAGGCTCACCTCTTTCACAAAACAGGACTGGAGGTGGTTCCATTACCTCATGTGCAGAAACCAACATAGGAGTCAAGAAAAATGAAGAAACACAGAACTGTGGTGCAAACAAATGAGCAAGATAAATCTTCAGGAGATAGTCCTAATTACATGGAAATATCTGGTTTACCGACAGGATGTTCAAAGGAACAGTCATAAAGATCTTCGTCGAGAGACTATCAGGTTGATGAAAACAGTAACTTGAGTAAGGAGTTGATAAATACATGAGCTGAGCTCAAAAATTCAGTAGGGACCAGAAGGCAGCCTTTAATCAAAGCCCTGGAAAGGCAGACAGTCAGATCTCCGTGAGTTCCAAGCCAGTCAGGGCTACATAGTGAGACTTTGTCTCAAAACAAAACAAAACAACAAAAAACAGACCAAGAAGAAGAAGAAGAAGAGGAGGAAGAAGAGGAGGAGGAGGAGGAGAGAGGGAGAAAGTAAATATAAAAAGTAAAATAAGTGTATTAAGTTCAAAACACTCATTTCTGTGATGGTACTATAAAAATCAACTATATCTCTAGTGTGAATTCTTAAAGTCAAAACTATTAAAATAACTATAGTCAAAATAACGTGTTAAGGAACACAACCTGTAAAAGAGACAAACTATCAACAACAACAACAACAACAGCAACAACAAAACCAAATCAACAAATTGTTCAGAAGAATAAAAACAAAGAGTTTGAGGCTGGGAATGCCTTTAACCCCAGGACTTAGAAGGCAGAGACTGGTGAATCTCTGTGAGTTCAAGCCTAACCTGGTTTACATAAAGAATTCAGGCCAGCCAGAGCAATACATTGAGATCCTGTTTAAAAATATATATTTTTTGCACGTGATAAGAGTTGGCATTATCAGATTAAAATAGTTACTAGTATACTATGCTTTATATAATCCTTATGGTAACTGTGTCATTAACTCCTTCTCACCACTATAATAAAATACATGATAGAAGTATCTAATGGTAGGGAGGGTTTGTTCCTGTTTCACTTTGAGGATGCAGCCAACTCTGGAAGGGAAGGACGGCTTGGGAGCAGGAACCTGGGACAGCTGGCCACACTGTGATAGTAGTCAGTAATCAGAGAGATAAATGCTGGTACCAGGCTCGCTTTTATTCAGACAGGAACCAAGTCCATGAGATGATGCTGTCCACACTCAGGAGGTGTCTTCCCTCCTTGTCTCAGCTCTTCTGGAGGCACTGCCATAGATTCATGCAACAGTATAGTTCCAAGGTGATTACAAATCCAGTCGAGGTGACGCTAAAGATTAACAATGACAACTCCACCCTTTGTCAACATGACACACAAACACATTTCTTTAAATCATAATATTCCTCCCCAGGTCTCCGAAGTCTCCATCTCATAATACTAAGAGCTCTTAGTCTGTCTCTAAACATCTACACAGTGTTAGTGTGCCAGCATTGTTCAAATGTCCGGAAGGCCTACTACTTTCACACTCAAGACAACCTTCACTGTGAGCTCCTAAAATATCAAATGCCAAGTCTTACACTTCTAATTCACAATGGCACAGAATAAGCGTTCCATTCCAAAAGAGAGGGATGGGGACATAGCAGGTGAAGATCAGATCATGGCAGGACCAAAATCCGACAGCTCCATATCCAGCTTTTGGGGCTCACGATGGAATCCCCCCAACGCTCATTTGTTTTGCCAGCTCATCAACTGGAGGCCAACTCCTTTTTGCGCATTGGCTCCAGCAGAACAATTAAAGAGTTTTACTTTCATTAACCTCTAGGTGTACAGAGTGATGTCTCACTGGACAAGCATATGGTATCTGTAGCAGTTGCTTTTACAAAGGACTCAGGTTCGATTCTCAGCACCCACATGGTGGCTTACAACCATTTATAACTCCAGTTCTAGGAGATCCAGTGTCCTCTTCTGACCTCCATGGTTACTAGGCATGCACATGGTGCACGGATATACATGCAGACAAAACATATCAAATGAAAAATTAAAAAAAAAACCTTCCACAAATCAAGCAGTTCCAACGTGGAGGATTCTTGGACTGTTATTCTTCCCTGAGATGAGAAATCTGCATGTTGCAACATGGAATGTTTGCTTTCTCTGTATTTAAAGGGCTGACCTGAGGGAGATTGTCTGTGTATCGCTTTTATCTCACTCTTTCCCCTTCGCTGTGAAATTCTTCCCACACGCTCCAAGTTTTAAGATCCTAAAAAGGGAGAACTTTTCTTCCCTCTGTGATCCAACACCTCCATGCCATCCTCTTTCCATTCCTATATTCTCTGCCAATCTGGAGGACAGCAAGGATCTGCCTGTCCCCATTCTGATTATTTCCTAGAGAAGGAGGGGGTCACAGCTGACAAACTCTGCGGTGTGAATTCTATGGTCTTAATAATAATAATAAAAAAACCCCAGAGTCAGATATTAGGGGGTGAAAGCCAAAAGATCAGAGAAGCAGAGCAACCAGCAACTAGTTCTTACCTCGACTGAATCCTCAGACCCAACGGGGTATTCTGTCTCTGCAAGTCCTCAGACTGAAATGCTTTGAGCTGCTGTCTTCTCCTGATTTATAGTCCTCTCTCTGCCCAGCCACATCCCTTCCTGTCTCCGCTACCCCAGCGTTGGGATTAAAAGTGTGAGCCATCACCGCTACCCCAGCGTTGGGATTAAAAGTGTGAGCCATCACCGCCTGGCTCTGTTTCTCTTTTACAGTGGATTAATCTTGTGTAGCCCAGTATGGCCTTGAACTCACAGAAATCCCTCTGCCTCCTGAGTGTTGGGATTAAAGGTGTGTGCCGCCACTGCCTGCCTCTGTGACTAACCAGTGGCTAGCTCTGCACTCTGTCAAGCTTTACTTGTTAAAGCACAAACAAATTACCATGACAAAACTATGTCAACCTTCATCTTAAAGAACAAGGAAGAGTCAACTACCTGCCACACAGTAGTGGCACATGCCTTTAATCCCAGAACTCCTGAGGCAGAGAGAAACCCTGTCTCAAAAAAACACCCAAACAAGCCAAAAAGTCAGCTACCTATAGCTACACTAACTAGAAGATACTCCCAAGCAAGTACTGAGAGAGGAAGATGTGGAAAAGCAAGAAACGTGCTGGGTTGTGGAAGATGATTAGTTGTGGCCTGAACCCAGGATCACAAGGGCAGAGGCAAAAGCAAATGCTGTCCTGGGAGTCAAACTTCATTTCATAAACAGTGCTGTCCATTATGCTAAGAAGTGTGCATTCCTTTGGAAATTATATTTGCATACTAGCCACACCCACTTTTTCTTTGGTTACTTGTAAGAAATAGGCTTTGAACTCCAAGGGGTGACATAAAATAAGGGAGTCATGGCTGGCAGGGGAGCCCCTCCAGAGCCATAATCAAGAGTCCGTGAACTGAGGGGTCCTGCCATCTCTTTATGATCCATGCTTCTGTCCCACGGACCTCCCAAGCTAAATTACCACTAAGTGCTATCTGAACACAGGCTTTCCTTGAAAGCCCTAATTTTGCAGTGTTGACTGAGGCCTTAGTGACTCTATTATTAGAAAAGGAAGCATTTGGGCTTCAAATACAGGAAATCTAAACAATTAGCTCCCGTGGACTTCAGCGCCCTGGGTTAAAGGCCGGGGACTGGATGTCTTTGTTTCATGTTAGGCTATTGAGGAAGTGTTTTACAGGCTGGAGTCTTGGCTTTACTAGGTTGTTTGGAGTCAATAGGGTCAGCTGGGAGATCTTGAACACTGATTATTAGTTATAGCGGAAAAAGGGCACACCAGAGAGGCTTTCAGAAGGGTGGGGAGCATTCTCTTACATGCACTGTAATTTGGATATTCAAAGGTGGGAAGGGCCACTTGTGTCAGCCAGAGAGAGACTAGCGTGGGAAGAAAAGCAAATAGAAATAGTACGTGCTGTTGCTGGGAAATTCACCCCTCAAAGGCAGAGAAGTTGGCGTGTGTTAGATACAGGGTGGCTAATAGAGGTAGGCGGAAAGAGTTGAAGATCACCAAAAAGACTCACGTTATAGAGGGGACTGTCAGGGAAGCCTCTGAAGGGATGTAGAAAAGCCCAGAGTTAAACTGTAATAAACACAAGAATGAGCGTCCTCTATGCGCAGTCTCTTCTGACAAACCATTCTGAACAAATAACTGTAAAATAAGAAAAACAATATATTCTGGGGCAATGTTACACATTCAGAAAACATCATTTTTTTTCCTTTTCATTTTTAAGATCTTGTTTTATGAAGCTAGAGAGGTGTCTTAGAGGTTAAGAGCACTGGCTACTCTTGCACAGGTCCCAGGTTTGGTACCTACCTACAAGATGGTAGCTCAAGACTGTTTGTGACTCCAGTTTCAGGGTATCTGACTCCTTCTGGTCTCCACAGACACCAGGCATACATACATGTAGACAAACACTCATATACATAAAATAAAAATAAATGAATCTAAAAAAAGATTTTATTTTTGTGTGTGCGCACGTGCACTCACTAGAGGCTAGAAGAGGGTGTCAGGTGTCAGATCTCCTGGAGCTGGAGTTATGAGGGGTTGTGAGCCACCCAACACAGCACCCAACACGGGAGCCAAGAATCTAACTCCAGTCCTCTTTCAAGAATAGGAGGGAAGGGATCTAACCACTGAGCAATTCCTCCAGAGCCCTGCTCGTTATTTCTAATGAAGACGGTTACGAACAAGCATGAACTAAGACTTCCCTAGTTCCAATCTCAGTGCTGCCCTTTACCAGGTGTGTGATCCTTGTAAGTTTCACAATCTCTGTGCTTCCACGTCCTCATCCATAAACCAGGGAAACAATGTCATTCACTTCATGGCCTCACCCTGTTTAAATGTAAAGCGCTTAGAATTTCTTATGCACAGGAGAGGTCTATTGACACCAGGCAGCAAAGGACAGGGAAGTAAACCCGTAAATCAGCAATATGCTACTGACGTTACGATGGGGTAGTAAGTGAAACTCTCTCGGGCTGTGACATTTAAGCTGTCATCCAAAGGAGGAGTAAGAACCAGCAATGCTGCAGAACAATCTGTTTGTACACTGTGAAGATGTATCATTTGGATTGGTCCAATAAAAAGCTGAACAGTCAATAGTTAGGCAGGATTTCCAGGCTTCCAGGCACAGAGGACTCTGGGAGGAAAAAGGGAGGAGACTGAGAACAAGCAGGACATGCAGGAGGATTGGTAACAGCCACGAGCCACGTGACAGCACATAGATGAAAGGATATGAGTTAATTTAAGTTATAAGAGTAAGTTAGGAACAAGCCTAAGTGATCAGCCAAGCCTTCATACTTAATAATAAGTCTCCACTTGGTTATTTGGGAGCTGGTGGGACAGAGAAAGACTCATTACACAGTAATGACTAGAGAATTTCACAAACGGGAAATGCTGGATGCGTAGACAAGGGGCAGGAAGAAGTTTATTTGAAGAATACTGGGGAGCGGGTGAAGAGGTGAGACCTCTTCTCTGTATGGCAAAACACAGCAAGCAAGAAAAAGTTGTATTAATTATTTGCTGCCCCATTAACTGATCACAGCAAACTTAAAACAGCACTCACCCCGTGACCCGGCAGACTGGTGTCTAGGTGGGCTTGGCTGAGCTCCCTGCTAGGATCACACAAGACTGGAATCAAGGACTGGACTTTTATGTGGAGGCTAAGGAAGAACCCAGATGTTAATAGAACTCAATTCCTCGTTGGTATAAGACGGGAGTTGTCACGACCACACTAGTTATCAGCTGGGACATTTTCCTTGAAAACGGCCCCTCCTTTGGCTCATTGCCTTTCTTAAGGCAGGAAAAGAGGGCCAAATCTTTCTTGCCTTTTAAATCCTTCTGACTTCCCCTTCTGCCTCTACTTTAAAGGGCTCAGATAACATCCCCTTTGCCATATAACGTAACACAATCATGGGGTACTATAAACGTTAGAGCTGATGGGACTCAAAATTCTGCCTGCCACATTTAAGAAATGTATTTAACGTGAACTTAAACCAAACATGTACATTATAGAATCAATAGGAAAATGTTGTTGGTACTCTGGGCAGCCAACAAACAAGCAAAATTTTAGTTGATGTCATGATCTGATTTTTATTTCCAAAAGAGAACAGAAAACATGGTTCTATGGTGTTTTTCTGTTGGCTTAGTGACTGCACATGAATCTACTGATATTTTAATTATTGTCTGATGCCACATAGCCCCTCGGCCAGCTCCCCATCTGCCACTAAGACCACAGCCTGATATGGCTTTCAGTCTCTTGACCATGGGCTATGACATGACTGTAATATGAAGGTTTAAATTAAGTCTCTATTGTTCTATTTATCAATAAGATTCAGAAGTCAAAGACTGGGGTGAAAACCTGCTAGCTGAGAGAGGCAACTTGCTGACCTTGGTTTTTGGCTGGAAACACTGCAAGAGACACTGTCTCTTCCCTCATTCCAGAATGAAAAAAACTCAGATTCTAGTCCTTTCCTTCCTGTGCGTCTTCTCTATCCAAATTGCTGGCTTCTCTATGGCCAGTTTGGTCAGCTAGTCACCAGCTTTGCCCTCTGACTCAAGGTATTGTTATGCCCAAATCTGCAAAGTCCCCTAAAAGGCAACAAGGAGACCAAGTCCCCCGTATGTAAAAGCAAAGAGCCTTGATTTTATGCAAATTTGCAAACTCAGTCTCACAGCATGTCCAACGTATTGGAATAAACAGAGAGCCCTGAGCTCAGTTAGAGTTGGGTTTTTATAGTAGTAAAGGTGGGGGTGAGGGGTTTCTGAGGTTCAGGACTCCTGATTGGCTGACACTTGTCTAGGGATGTCCTGGTGAGTGTATGCTGGCAGGTGATCCTATCTACAGTGGTTGAAACTTTAGGCATTTCCTTTGAATGGTCTGTTCTTGGGTGGTGCTTAGGTAACCTTAGTTCATGGTCCTTCGTTATAACCGGTATTGCTTCAGGGTAAACTACTGAGACTCAGGCCTCCATTAAACTTATCAATGGCTGAGTCCTTCTCTGGCAGGTGATAATAGCTGGAAGTAAAGGACTTCCTTTGAGTGTTCTGTTCATATTTAACTCATGGCTGGCTCCTACAGGTATAACTTTTTTGGGCAGTCCTGGGAGTGTCAGAGTGTGAGATGGAAATATCCCTCAACAGTTCCATGTCGAATGATGAATCAGGAGGCAGGAGGCAGCAGCAGAGAGGGGATGTGTTATTCCTTTGGGACACTTTAAGAACTAACCACGCCCACCCCAGCCACTTCTGACCTCCCCCCCCTCGTTCTCTCTCTCTCTCTCTCTCTCTCTCTCTCTCTCTCTCTCTCTCATGTGTGTGTGTGTGTGTGTGTGTGTGTGTGTGTTTGTTTCGTGTCGTGTGTACGTGTGTCTTTGTTTTCTCTATGTTTGTCTATGTCTCCCTTTCTTTAAGTAATAAATGTCTAGCTTTATGTATATAGCCTTATGTCCATTTACTCTGCCGTCCACCGCATTCAGCCGCTTGACTCTGCCGCTCGCCCAGGGACCCTGTACTGCTCTGGCGGCAGCTTCTGTCTGGCTTGCAGGCCACCCGGGCCATGCCAACATCATATTATTTTTAAAAAAGAACAATAGAATGGCTATCCAAATGTGAGGCGAAGTGCCTTGGAGGAGGATGACAGCAGCAGTAGGGATGGAGAGAGCGCATGGATTTGGTCTTTCTTTGGGTTAAGCCAAGGGTATGGGAACTGGGGAGGGTGGGGGTAAAAGCTTAGAGAATGGCAGTGCCAGTAACTGGGATGGGGAAGAAAGGGTCGATGTTCTAGGGTCAGGAGGGAGCTTGGAAATCTTAGTTTTGTTTTCATTTTACATACCAACCACAGTTCCCTCTCCCTCCCCTCCCCCCACTGTCCCCCACCTCTGCCCTTAAATTCTGTTTGATCACTTAGTATCCGTGTGAAAACATACCTCTCACCTCAAAAGGAACAGGAGAGAGTTTATTCTGAGGCCAAATGTGGGTGACCATGGCCCAGAAACAGATTCAGGTTATCCCAAATTCCATCTTCCAGTATGGTGCTTAGCAGCTTCGTGAAGTTTTTATAGTAACAGAACAAAGAAAGTCACAGATCAAGGAATTTTTTTTTTAAATACATCCGTGGCAACATTAAGTAGGTGGTTATAATAAAGCAGAGAAACCTCAGCCTCAGAGTCTCTGTGACAGTGGGTGGGTAGAAACTGGTCTTTGTTAATACAGTTTAAGAAGTTTTCAATCCATTAGTCACAGGATGGTAGGTCTGACCCAGAGGTGGGCAAGCAATGGCTGTTTAGGGGTCTAAAAGATGTCCAAGGCAAACTACAACCTCTCCAAGATCCAGTCAGCCAATCAGCCTTCCCGGAAAGCTTCTTTGCAGGAATTCTCCTTCACAGATGGCGGTCAGACTACTTCCTCTTTGTACCGTGCCCGCCCCTCATAGCATACATACAGGCAAAACACGCATTAACATCATAAAATAAAGTTTTAAAAAAGGAAGTAATATGATGACCATTGCGGTAAATACTCTATTTGATTTTTTTCCCCATGAACTTCTCAGTATTATTATGTAACAGGAGGAGCAGGCTGCTTGTTGTCCCAGCCGCCCCCTAGCTTACACCTGAAATAACCACACAGAAACTGTATTAATTAAAACACTGCTTGGCCATTAGCTCTAGCCTCCTATTGGCTAACTCTCACATCTTGATTTAACCCATTTTTATTAAACTGTGTTCACCACGAGGTCATGGCTTACCGGGAAAGATTCAGCACGTCTGACCTGGCATCTCCATGGTGGCTGGTTCTCTCTCTCTCTCTCTCTCTCTCTCTCTCTCTCTCTCTTTCTCTGTTTTCTTTCTCCCAGAATTCAGTTCTGTCTTTTCTGCCTACCTAAGTTCTGCCCTATCAGGCCAAGCAGTTTCTTTACTGATTAACCAATGAAAGCAACACATAAATTGAAGAGCCTCCTACACCATTGTTAGAAAATTATTCTGTAACAAATACCCTCTTTTTCTGGTATTCATGCCTTGGGTTAGCCTTCTCCTTGAATGTGGGTGAGACCTGTGGCTTGCTTTAACCAGTAGCATAGGCCAAAGACAATGAGATGCCACACATGAGCGTAGAGCGTGAAGCTGTAACTTTGAACCTGCCGGTTGCATTCCATTAACTTACTGGTTCTGATGAAGCAAGTTATTGCATGGAAAGACGTATATGACAAGAAGTTAAAGATGGTTTCCATTCAACAGGGTCCACAGTTTACCAGTCTGCAAGAATGTGAATGCTATTGATAGCCGTGTGAGTTTGGAAGAAGAGCCCAAACCACTGGAACTTTACATAACACCTGATTGAAGCTGCTGACCTTGTCTTAGGCTAGTTCTAGACCTCCAGAATAGCCATTTCCTGTCCACTCTGTATCAGAACCAGCATCTTCTGACTAACAGATGGAAACCTTTTAGAATGTATTAACTTAGCAGGCTGCTAGGTTCCATGAACCCAGAAGTATCTTGGACCTATGGGAAAACTTTCTTCATCTCACTGCACCTGCCTTTCTGATGTCTCCTCCTCTCCACTGTATTTTAAATGTGCCTTGATTTGTGACTTTTATCATAATTTACAGAACTAGTTCCTTTGTATAGAACCACTTTCATAATGGAACATGAGATTGGAGGCAACTTAAATTTTTGTTCCCAGACCATGGTCACTGAAAACAGCTCCAGAATAAACTATCTTTTATTCCCTTTAAGATGAGAGCTCTATTTTTTTTTTTTTTGCATTGACAGTACTAATGCTACATTTTATTGTTTTCCAGGGTTAAATCAACCAACTCTGTTAAGGTTGATAATTTAATCAACTTTTTTTAGAAGGCCTCCCTTCATCTTTCATGAAAGAATATTAAGGCTTATATAATTACTTGAGAAGACCCATGGGGAAAAGGAGCATGAGGAGAGCCTTCAATCCATTACTTCATTGATGGGGTATCCACTGCCCAAATCACATGGTCTATCGAAAGGAGGCCACTTCAGTGAAGATACATCGACTCCTGCCAGATGTGGCAGCTGGAACCTTCACTCCGCAGGGATGCCTCTGCTTAGTTTCCCCACAGACTGTCCATTATGGATGTCAAGATTCCTGTTCACTGTAAGGAATGTAGCTCCACAGCTGGTGGATTTCCTATAGTTCTTTTTTTAAAAATATTTATTTATTTATTTTATTATGTATACAATATTCTGTCTGTGTGTATGCCTGCGGGCCAGAAGAGGGCACCAGACCTCACTACAGATGGTTGTGAGCCACCATGTGGTTGCTGGGAATTGAACTCAGGACCTTTGGAAGAGCAGGCAATGCTCTTAACCTCTGAGCCATCGCTCCAGCCCCTCTTCCTATAGTTCTTCATACTCAAATCATCCTGACTCCAAGTCCTTCTCTCTTGCCCTCAGATATTCTTGTTTTGTAGATCAATCTGTCAAGTCCCTAACACCCTAGATTTTAAACACCAAACTTTCTTTTAAGAAGGTGAAGGTAGTGTACCCGCTAAAGTTCACCTGTAAGCCTCATCTACCCAATAGATAACTTTATGGAATCCTGGGCACTTTTGTTTATGAAGATAATATGTCGCGTGTTTTCACCTCAACAAACAAGGTTGGTTGTTCCAACTGCGCAGGATATGTTTGATCACGTGTAGGTGGGAGACATGTGGGCGGAGGGGGGGGAGGGGAGTTAGTCAGGATGTATGCCTGCCCCTGATTGGTCAAAGGTGGCAAAAACATACATAGCCTTGTAAGTTTGGCCTTTATAGGCATCTGACTGACCTTATTCAGTGTCATTCTCTGGGAATCTTGGGTGTGAACCTAGTGTTGTCAAATGGCACCGGAGAGACCTTGGTGGGCCAAGGGGCCATGTGGCGGGCGAGGGTGGGAGGATGGGAAACAAATGCGCCACGCAGGCAGAGTTTAAGTGAGGAGTTTATTGAAAGTAGGGTAAAGGAGAGGTAAGAGGGAAAGAGAAATACAGAGAGGAAGAAGAAGGAGAGGCAAAGACCAGCCTGACTCTTCAGAAGAGGGGAGGGGATCGGGAGCGGGCAGAGTTTGTTTAAAGGGACCTTTCACACCTGCCTACATACGTAGCAGCCACATGATCCTGAGTTGGCTAGCGTACTGCCTGGGTTTATCTTGCCAGGTGGCAGGGGCCAGCATAATGCCTGAATCCTAACACCTAGCCGTATCCATCGTTCTGGCCAATATTAAATAAAGATTGTTTTATTTGGACACTCGTAGATGTGGTTTTTCTCCTTGAAATTTGCAGGTTTAATAGGAGCCTCAACCCACTAAATAGAGTTCCGTCTTAGTTATCTTATCCCAAGAAAGGGAGGGAGAATCAACTTCCATTCTTTTGTGATGACTTCACAGCTAGCAGAAGTCATTTAATCTGTTGCCTAGGTTACGAGCCACATAACCAGCCACAGCAAGATGAAAATAAGGGCGGCCCCAAATTTCTGGCTATTGTGAAAGACGCCATTTAGACGCTGTCTCCTCGAGATAAACAAGACTTCTAGCTCAAAATCCTGCAGGGGATTTTTATTTGTGAAAATAAAAGGACAAGAGCATTACAATTTGCTCATTCTAAGCCTAATTTAATTCTAATTTTAAGTCTAGATGGTGGCGAGATCTACATGCCAGTGAACCTGAGCCTGTACCAGTTACTACCCAAGTAGTAGGAGGAAGAGAGCGTCAGCCGGGAAGACAAGAAACAGAGATGTTAAAATGCAACCAAACATAGATATTAAAATTTTTCTTTTCAGTGTTGGGGAATGGACTCAGGCCTTTGAGCGTGCTGGGAAAGTGTTCTGCCGCTGTGCTACGCCTCTCAGCCCCATGTAGAAACTCCTATTTCACAGCTTATAGAAATTGTTAGTATTGTTTACCATTATGACCCTTGTCTTTATGGCTTCCTAACACTTTCATTTTTTTTCCCTTTTAAATGCATTGGACCGTATTCGAATTCCTAAACCAAATACAAGTTTTTTTCACAAAGATATGAATTTATTTTTACAGTGGTTCCCCCCTTCTCTGCCCCCTTTCCATTTTCTGTAATAACTCCGTATTGTTCCTCCCACTCAAAAGCAGAGAAAGACGGCCCAACGACTTCCTCCCCCAACATACTTACAGGAAAGAATAGCAACAATTCAACTCCAGCTGGGCCAGCCCAAAAGCCAGGAAGCTTTTCTTGGATTCGGGAGTCCTGTGCAAGCGGTGTAGGTGCTTCCCAGCAATTTGGTTTTATTATTTTGGTTTCTGCTCGTGCTGCAGAAACCCTCGGATGTCTGACATTGGTGGTATTCAGCAATCGGTGCCAAGCTTAATGCCAGTTCAGCTGTTTGAAAGGTTTAAGTGACCATGGGAGAATGTTTTTATAAAACTCCTTGTTTGGTGCATTGGCAATTTGTTCAGGAAATGTGAGTCAGGCTCCCTCCCTCCCTCCCTCTCAGGAAAATAGCTTGATTTATCTCCTCTAAACTGAAGGCGAGCCCGCAAATATGACCGTCACACTTGGCCTTATCTTGGTACAAGCTCCCCAGGCAGCCTGCAGGAAGAAGCAGTGTTTGCCTTGGAAGTACGAATGGGAGGAGACGGTAAGGGTAAGGGGATTTAAGTCTCAGACCCTGGGACAACCGGCTGAAGTGCCTGCTTAACACAGCAAAGTGAAGCAGGCTGCCAGGTACTGGGTTCTTCCAGGCTAGCATAGCCAAGCTACCCTAAACTTCTCCACCCCAGGTCCCGGGCTACTCTTCCCTATATAATCCAACCATTTTGGTTTGGTTTTGTTGTTGTTTTGTTTTGCTTTTATCTACTCTTTTTTGTGCCTGCTGGCTGTTGCGCCTGGTTGTCCAGCTCTCCCCTTTCCGTTGCCCCCATCCCCTCAATGGCTCAGGGTTGTGCCCACTCTGGACTCTCCCAGATGTCCCTCTCTCCCTTTTATTTATAATAAACCTTCCCCTCCACCATACCCAGGAGCAGTCGTGTCCTTTCTTTTTTTTATTTCTTTCTGTCATTCAATTTTAGGCAGTAAGCAGATACATTTTTAATACTAATCATTACGCATCCATTTAAACAATCCCATGTATCCAGACAATGTAATATGTCAATCCATAATTTCATGGATGCTATTACTTAAGATTGGGTTAAATAAAAAGTGTAAAAGTCCAAAGAAAGCAGGAAGTTAGTGATAGTTTGATTGGCAGGCAGGCATGGCAGTATCTGAGAGTGGCAGCTGGACAATGGTATGTTTCAGAAACAGTGTCCAACTATAACACCCTAGGGCTTGTCTCCCGCAGAACTCCTAATTCAGTCTTACTACTGAGCAGTTCAGTGCTTTAAGCAACTTCACAGGCCTCTGAACCGGCACCGTCATCTGTAGTATAATTCCCATCGGAAAACTCTTCACAGAAACTAAGATTTCAGTCCAGGATATTGTGAGTAGAGCATGTGCTCATTAAAAGACACAGCCTAAAAAGAAATTCAAAAAACCAGAAAGCTGGGCAGTGGTGGCTAGTTCCAGGACCCAGGGAGTCAGAGGCAGGTGGATCTCTGTGAGTTCGAGGCCAGTTTGATCTACTGGCCTGTAGTGCCAGTTGAGAGTGAGTTCCAGGACAACTAGACATATACAGAGGAACCCTGTCTTGAAAAACCAACGAAAAACAAAAAACAAAACCAGGCACACCTTTTCCCATTCTGCCTTACCTGCGGGTCCTGACTCCTATTACTCTTATTTCCATTTATCTTACATAAAAATTTTAAAGCCAGAAAGCCAGCCAATCAGTTCTTCTACCTAACACTAGATCAGGAAATGCTGGTACCTCAAAGAGACAGGATCGGACTCTGTCATGGGGCGCACTGATTGAACTGTCTCCTTTGTCTTGAAAGACCTGGATAAATCCAGATCCCCCTAACAGGAAAATAGAGCCAAAAATCTAGGAGGAAGAGAAGAATCAGAAATCTAAGGTTAACCAGTTCCAGGGTTCCAGGTACTAGCTGAAGATAAAGGTGGATTGTAATCTTGAGAGTAATCTTGAGAGACAAAGAGATCTCCCCTAGTAATTGTCACCCCCTAGTAATTTTCACCGGAATAGGAACTAGCTGATTAGGACCTAAGAGAATGATCTTGAGAGGCAGGGAATTGCCCCTTTGTAATCATCACTGGAATTTTTGGAATCTTCTGTGACATCCTCCCTGCCCCCCCTTTCGGATTACTGGGCTATATGGTTTCTTCCTATAAAAACTACTTCTCCCAGTCACTCGAGGTCGAACCCTTCCCCTGTGTGGGTTATGAGTCTCGGCCCCAGTGCACTGGTCCCCGTCTTGTCGTCTTGTCATTAAACCTCGTGTGATTGCAGCAAGGACGGTCTCTCGTGAGTTACTGGGGGGGTTCGCGTCATCCCGAGGCTCGAGTGAGAGCCTTCCCAAATTGGGGGTCTTTCAGTCTGACTGCAACAGAGTCTTGATCTAAAAAGCAATCACAAAAACAAGTATGTGATTATTATTTGTTTTGGGTCATGTCCCCTGTCGTGCTGGTCCATCCCCCCCACCTCCCTATCCTCCCACCTCCCACCCTGTGTGGCACCAAATAAACCACGCCTCCTTTTATTTGACACATATTTGACTGTTGTGTGATTGTTTTCAGAATCAAGAGACTGTGATTCAAGTTCAATAGAGTTCAACTTACCTTTTTTCCCCCTTTTAGGGCTTGATTTGGATGTGTTGGTTCTCAGGAATAAATATGAAAAGTTTTTGCACCCCGATAAGTGTTATGCCCAAATCTGCAATTCCTGCAAGCCGACAAGGAAACCAAGAGTCCCATATGTAAAAGCAAAGAGCCTTTATTTTAATCAAGTTTGCATACTTGGTCTCTCTGCAAAAGTATTGGAATAACCGGAGACTCCTGAGCTCAATTAGAATAGGGTTTTATAGTAGTAAAGGTGGGGGTGAGGGGTTTCTGAGGTTTTAAGACCCCTGATTGTCTGACATTCATCTAGAGTTTCCTGGTGACTGTGTGCTGGCAGGTGTTTCTATTCTATGTGCTTGGAATGCCAGGAATTTCCGTTGAATGGTCTGTTCTTGGGTGGGGGTCAGGTGATCTCAGCTTGTGGTTCCTTCTGCAGCCAGGCCTCATCTCAGGTAAACAATTGAGACTCCAGACTCCATTTAAATTCATGGCTGGCCAGAGTCCCAGGTGATAATGGTTGGAAGAAGTAAAGAACTTCCTTTGGGTGACCTGCCCAGACTTAGATTATCATGGCTGGCCCTCACAAAAAGATAAGCTTCTCTGTCAACACAGCAGTCCAAATCAGAACAAATCAAACCAAATTAGAAAAACCCCAGGTTTAATGAGTAAAACGCTCCTGGATGGTTTTCTGCACCCCTAGAGAGGAGAAAGACCGAAAAACCACATGTCTGTTTTCTAGGGGACAGTTTAAATACCCTGTGGGAGTGGTCTTGAGCATCTCCGGGAGAGGAACCATGTTTGACAGACTTTCTGAGAGATGAGGCAAGGTTTGGGGAGAGAAAGATGGGGAAGGGGGATTGAGGCAGAGCTTCCCCAGAACATCCCAGACTCTTTAGATATATGGATGCCAGGGGCTAGGGTGGAGCTTCCGCCAGAACATCCCAGACTCTTCGAGTATATGGACTCCCATTCGTGTCTGGCTGCATCCTGTGGGCACGGGACAATGCGGGGAGGGGATGTCAGGAGTTGGTGGGCTCACACTCAGCAGGAGGTGTGGGTAGAGAAGCATCCAGTTAACTGCCATCCTGGAGACCTCAGCGTTCGTTTCTTGAGGGAGCTGGGAAGGCATTGCTAGGAGAAAAATAGACTGCTATCATCAGCCCTATGCATGGGGCTAGCCATGGGAAGGGTGCTAACTTCCAGAAAGAATGGAATGGAGACGTGCCGTGGTTGTACAGAAGCAGCAAGGGTGAATGAGTGAGACGGAAAAGCAAACATGCCCCTTATCTTGGAAAACCAAGTTCCAGTTGCTGGGTAGGTGCCTGCTTGAGTCTGGAGGGGTGGTACCAGTGGTGAAGTCCCAGGAGCTGGTGCAGGATTTGGCAGCGTATATGGAGGGCCTTCTGTGGGCTGGCCTTGGAGTGAACCTGGAAAACATGCTCGGAAAGGAATGGGGTCAAAGATGGCCTCCGGAGACTTAGTTTTTCACCAGACCAGATTTCTTTATACAGTAGCAGAACTTTTCCCAGGAAGTGAAACAACTTTCCAGCTTCTGAGGAAGTCCTAGGTTTCTCTTAAATGGGGAGGAGGAGGTCCCATCTACCCCTTACAGGAATTGGGAATTGTAGAACCCGAGTAAGATATTAAAACAGAATAGGTAGCTCCCGAGTCCGATAGAAAGTCAAGGGACTTACCTTCTACCTGCAGAGTCATCCCAGGCTCAGAGAGGACAGTGGGAGTCACCAAGTCTAGGTAACTCTGCCAGGCTGAGGAATTCGAAGGCTGAAAGAGTCTCAGATGCCTGTGTTGGTGAAGCTGGACCTCCGTGGAGTGGCATAGTGGATGAGCCCGCTTGGAGGTATTTCCATTTCCACTGTTCAGGCTATGGGCAGATGGGACATGGCCTCACTGGGTCAGAGATGTAAGGTTAAGTTGGGAGCGTCACCCCAGGCCCTGGCATCCATCCCAGCCACCTGGTCTGGGCGTTGTATTGGTCTGGACTCCAAATCCCAGCATGCTAAGTCTTGACCCCTCCCCGGGGGAGGGTCAGGACCCCTCCCACAGGGTATTTAAGTGGGCGCCCAGAGGGGGAGCACGTGGTTCCGGGTTTTGCATGTGCTCCTTGGTTTTCTGTCTCCCCTGCTATGCTCTTGGCCACCCGAGAATGCTGTATTTAATAAAACATGGGAATTTTAATTTAACTTGATTTGATTTCTTTGCCCCGGCAGAGCGGCTCGTCTTAGGGTTTTTCCTAACAAGAGCAATATCTTGATTAGCGGTCTCAGGCTGCATTTGAAGCCAGCTGGCTGAACTGACTTTGGCGGGGAAGGGGGGGGGGGAATGGAGCCTCATGATCGACTTCCTTTGTCCCCCTTGTGGGGACCCTTGGTGGCCTCAGAGCAGCTGCTAAGGCTTGGGCTTGGAGCACAGCCTTTTGTTGCAGCCTTGTCTGTTGGGAGGACTCAGCTGCCTCTTCTCGGGAATTAAAAACTTTAAAGGCCATTTTTACCAATTCTTGTATGGGAGTTTGGGGACCCTCCTCGGCCCTTTTTTCAGTTTACCAATGTAAGTAAAAGCAAAAGGATTAGAAGGAATATTTCAGTCTCCTGTGTTTAGCTATGGTCCTAAGACATAATGCAAAGCCAGGTTTTAACAATGAACAAGGCAAAGTCTCTGAACTTTTATCTATTCATTCAAAC